AGGCACCTCCAGTATGATCTCTTTATACACACACAGCTCGGTTAAGTCAGGAGCCCCTTTATGCTGCCCTGTCTGACATGAGTCACGCTGTGCGAGGCTTGGTGTCAAGCTGTTAAATATTTCAGCATCCAGACACCCCCAATCGTGGATCCCAGACCTCAGTGCAGAGCCACGGGGGAGCTGACGGGCAGGTTAGGTGTTCAGTGGGGTGTGTGTTTTCAGGATTGGGTGAAGAAAGTGAACACAGACACTATGTAGCTCATCCATAGTAATAGTGAGCAATAAAAAACCTTTCTAGCAAACCGTAAATGGCACAGAGCAGAACATTACAGTATTTAAACCTCTTCTAACACGCTCTCTTTGTATAGTTGTTAATATAGTAGTTGGAAGAGACATTTAATGAAGAAAAGGCCCATTTATTTGTTTGTGGTCAGATAATGGCTGATGAATCAGACCCTTCTACTGCAGTTTTATTGCATTTGCCAAGTATTGTGCAGTGGCGATGCAGTAAAGCAGTGCACTGATACATTCATTGTTGGTCTGTAAAGAAAATGTTTTGTGTTTTGTCTCCAAACAATAAAAGTCTGTGTAAAAGTTAAAAGAGAGGAGCTTGACTTTCTATGGCTGCTTCTATAGATCAGTGTTGTGTTCTGGTTGTGCTTGGTGCTGCAGCCAAACAGCAGTTTACAACACAAACTGTGAATAACAGATCTGAAGTGGGATTAAGAGGAAATAGAGAGGATGGTTTCAAAATACTTTCAATCATAAAACACAGTCCATAATCCACATCTGGCAGCAAAGCCTCATTATGCATTCAGGATACTTACAATTTTTAACACCAATATCAGACATCTTAAGTGTATAATTTACTGCTAGATGTACAGATGGGTGACAAATGGAAGAACGAAGGTTCAAAACAGTAAGTGAGGGAATATCTTTAGGTGTTTATCCCTCCAGTATCAGCCATGTTGTTTTATTATTCCTTTAATTTGTCATCCATCTGTAGTTATTCATGGTAGAAAGATTCAATTGCGAATTGACTAACTGAAGTATTAGCTCCCAACTGATTCCGATGGGAATCAGTTGACGTGGGTCGTCTTGTGTTTGTCTCACTTTCGCTCACTTTTTCTGGCACATTTGCAGAGGACGCAGATAGCGAGGCAGATACACAGTAAAATCAATGAAATATTTATGAACTTTTCATCTGAGAGAACAAGGTGCTGTCAGGACAGTCCATGTAACATTTTGCATGTTTGTGAAAACTAAAGCACCAACTAAGATGACATTTCAAAAAAAGTTGTCTTTGCATGATGCAATCATCAGTAGTATTTACAACACACAGGACAATGCTAACATTGTGTGGAAAGGCCACTGGCCAATTTCAATCTGCAACTGTCATTGTATGAATGAGTGCCTCATGGTGAACACGCTCAAGGCTAGTCTTCAAACACAGGCAAGTCAGAGCAGCTACCTGGCCCAGGGTGTGTGTTTTTTCGATGGGGATCGCACAAAGTACTGGGAATGACTGGTAAATCTGGAAGTTGACTATAAATACGGTATACAATAAGAGCTGTGCTGATAATGTGTAAGGCACTCTCTCCTGGACTCAAGACCCCAGAAGAGAAAAAAACACATGTATCAAAACCAGGCCAAAAGGCAGCAGGACCTTCAACACAAAGAGAAAACGCTTAAATATCCCCTTCCATACCTTCAAAAATCCTTACACGCACCTTCAACAGACTCACACACCTACAAACACACACACTGCCCGCACCTCCATATGCATACAAAACTCAAATTTTATCATACACAAAAATATTTGTCCATTTTTTTTTCTGCTCCTGAAAAAGTAAAGTGCAACCTCCATAATCAGGCCGTTTGCTATGTTCATTTCTTTTCTCTGGCCTCTCCGTCAGACTTTTTTCTGCCAGACTTTGTAACTTTAACTGATAACAGGGAAATCAGACCAGTGACCCCAAGTAAGAGTCTGGCAACAGAAGGCTGAGTCTGTGTCCAAGTGTCCAAATGATGTTGCCTCCTGCTTTACACCTTTATAACTCTAGGGAAATCAAAATGTATTATACAACTCCCTTACTCCACAAGATGGGCTGACAAATATTAAGCATACAGTATTAAACAAGGGCGTTGGCCAAATTTGAAATTACAGACACCAAAATAGCCAAACCGACCCCAACGTGGGCATTATCTTCATTGTCCATTGCAGCTTCAATTGTGTCCTTTCCTACATGACAGTGATCTAGATAAATGAAAGCAATCCAGAAATGTGCTCACACCTACCCAGAATTCTTTCTGTTTGATGAAGATTAAGGAAGAGAGACCAGGTTTGACAGCCGTTGTGGCATGAGCCTGGATTCAAGGAGAGTATTTGGGTGCCAAAAAAAATTCAGTCGTGCCTCCATCAGTAGCTGTACATGGACAAGGGTGTGTCCTCCATCATATCGTCCTACACAGAAAAAATGGAATATAAGTAATTATACACAGCTAAGAGAATAGATAATAATAATATATGATACGATACTATGAATTTTGTGGTACCACTTTCTGATAAAAATGGGTTTATATGTTATAAATTATGGTTAATTAATAATTTTTTATGTTTTATAGATCCATTAAGCCATTAAGAAGAACAACTTTGTGAAAACTCTCCACGGCTGGTGAGTCTTTAAGTTAAGGAATAGTAATTTCTCCCTGAAATTTAGATGAGAAGATTGATATGTCTGTATATAACTATATATATATATATTAAGCTACAACCTCAGCATAAAGAACTAATAAACATATTATATCATGTTTGTTTACTCTGTACAAAAGGTGAAATATAAAAACATCGTGGTTTTACAAGTGGTTATGTGTGTTATGTTATTGCTGTAACATCCTGGACTCTTGTCATCACATTAAGGTTGCCATGCAACAAGCAGTGACTCCAGGACTATTGTAGTTGTTTCCCCTGTTTTCAATGCTTTTCGTGCTATGCTAAGCTAAGTGTATCCTGGCTTCAGCTTCATATTTACCATACAGACATGAGAGTGGTATCATCCTCATCATCTAACTCTCAAATAAACAAATAAACACATATTTGTCTATTATCATTTAAAGTTCCGCTCCACCTAAAGAAAAAAAATCTTCTTGTTCCTACAGCTGGATGTTTGATCTTCACTGTGCAGACTGATGCCTGTGCAGTGTTTGACGCTAGAAGGATGTTTTCACATTCATCTGCTGGAAGTGGAAATGTCTCTGTGCTTACTAATAATCTGATTTTAAGCGGCTAGGAGCATGATTTGTGACATCACAAACAGTTTGAAAGTCAAACTTATACTTATTATTATTAAACGTATTATTAAATGTGATGTAGAAACCGCCAGTGCACATACACTTTGAATGGACTTTACAGTGTAATAGGAGACATCTTGTGTCCAGCAGGAAAACTAATATAAAAACATTTGCATATTCATAGATTCAGAAATGTTTAATAAGATAGAAGGAGTAGATGTGTAGATAGCTAGACCAAGCAGACTATATATGTCTTATTACATGTCTGCAGGGGATCTTTAAGTCTCTACTACTAAATGTGAATAAGTTAGGAGGATAAACCCCAACTTAGTCTTTAATAAACAATTTATTAACTATTAATAAAGCCATAGTTACAGCTTTTATATAATATACTACACTATGGCTGGCAGCAGGAACAGTGCAGTTATGCCAAATGGCTCCTGGTAAGTTGTAACAGTATATCTCACATCTGTGCTGAATATTTTCACTGAGACAGCAGTCAAAGTGTTGCCTGGATGTAACGGACATGCTCACCATAGGTAGGTCCTGCAGTCTGCGGAACTCTGGTCGGTTGTCTCTTCTGCGCAGTTTGAGGAAGAGAAGCAGAGTGATGATGACAGCAGTGATGATGAAGGCTGACACCAGGCCAGCCAGAAGGGGGTCTAATGTGGGAGACTCATGGATCATCGTAGCTGGAACAAAAACACACAGGAGATAACTGAGCCGGTCACGTTCCAGAGTAAACAAGCAGGCAATGTAAAAGATGTTTTTTATTGTGACTTAATATGGTGCGAATTGTAAAATCACAGATTCTTAAATGGTTA